CACACCATAATGGCATTGTATCATTGTACAATTAGTACAATGGTAGTGCATTCGTGCTATAAAAGTTTCTATCCGCAAGGGTTGGGGTACTTTACAACATATTTAATTACAATTCCTTTGCCTAATAGAAGGTTGTCGTTGTACTCTCTAGTACTTAGAAGTAGTGAACAATACTTGTTTACTCAAAGATGAGTAGGAATTCTTACTCAAAATTCTTAGTATTTAATCACAGAGTTTTATGCTTTTAATCAAAATCGTTCATACTATGAATCACACTGTAATTATCATCTTTGCAAAAAATAAATTAAACCTAAGGTCGTTTAGTTAATATATTGTAGCAAATACATTTACGGTTCGTAATGCTTTTACCAATTCTGTTCATTTGTTTTTAAACAGTTTGATGACTTAACAACCTTAGTTTTAATTGATTTTTTGCAGATGCAATATTTATAGGCTGATTTATAATATAAAGGGTTTTGATTATAAACACAAAGTTTTGTAAATTAACAATGAATAATTTTGAGAAATTTGAAGTAGGAGTTCCTACTTATCTTTGAGTAGTCAAATATTGTTTCTCAGAATGATGCTTTCATAATAAAAGAACGTCTCCTTTCAAGCGTCCTTTTCGTCAAAATCGAGTCGTTCTGTCAATTGATATCCATGGCGTCATTGGGCCACGTGGTGTGTTGGATTTGGATACGCACAAGAAGCATTTGCTGAGAGCATTTCAACAAATCCTTAATTGACAAGGCTAGATCCAAATCCAACCCAGAAAGCCCTTCTACCCATTTTTGGGCGCCAAGGCTTAGCCGTCATGGCTCCGGCCATGTCAATTATGAGTCCAATCTCAAATTCATGACGTGGACGTCGGGTTAACGTCAGCGGGTTAGTTTATTTTTTTTTAACGTCAGGCACCGGCACTACGTGTGCCCGTGAGGGAGGGTAGCGCACCACAACCTTACGCATGTGGTCCGCACACAACAGCCAGCTAACTCCAACTGACAATATTTGAACCACGTGATCACATCTCAAGTGTTCATTTTAAATTCTCACTAGAATCAAACGGTTCTAATTATTTTTCGAAATAAAAACATTTAAAGAAAAAAATTATCCAAAAAATCAGAAAATTAATAACTAAGTAAAGAAAATTAAAAAAACAATTCTAACAAATAACAAAGCATTTTTATTAAACATAATTCAACAAAGCATTAAAAATATCATCATTCAACAAAGCATTAAAAAAGACACAAGTCAAGAAAGCATGAACCAAAGGACAATTCAATCTCCCTGATTTTCTTTCAACCTCCAATTGTGTTCGATCAAGTCAAGTTCACGTTCGTCATGAATGTAAGAAGATTGCATTTCAGTAAAACGTTCCATCATTCTGCTGCACAAATGACCATCTCTTAATAAGGGGTGTGTTGCATAGGTGGTCCACCAAGGCACACCCTAGGTGAATCATAAAGTCTTGTCGTTGTTGTGTTCATCGGGTCCGGTTCGAACACTTCTAGTACATCATAATCATACTCATCTTCCACAATCATGTTATTAAACATGATGCACATCATCATCATACTTCGAAGCTCCTCTTGATTGAACAAATGAGCAGTGCCCCTTAAAATTGCTCAACAAGCTTAAAGGATACCAAAACACCTCTCCACATCTTTACTGTACGCTTTCTGCTTTTAGGCAAAGTATTGTTGTTGGTCGAATTGGGGCTGTGTAATTGTCTTGACAAACATGTCATTCCATCTGCAAGGTAATACCCACCTGATCGAGTATGTAAGGGAATTGATTTCATATGTGATTTGAGGAGAATCCCCTCTCAAGACGTTTTTGAACACTGGGAATTAACCGAGCATGTTGAGGTTATTTTGAGAGCATGCAACAACAAAAAAAACATGCCAAATCCAGGTGTCGTTACGCAACAGCATTTAGACTGATACTTATATACCCCTTCCTATTCCCAAAATCTCTTTACCAGGAATTTGGACATTTCTTCCACTGCTAATGCATACAGTTGATGGTTCCAATCATGTCTAGAAAACCTCGTGCCTCAGCTTTTTGTAGTAGCATGTGGAGTTCCGCAAGTCTTGGACTGCAGAGATACTCATGTTGGAGAACAATTCAGAAGTAAACAAAAATAACAGAAATAAACAGAACTTGAAATTCTAATATTTTATTTACCAAATATACTTGATGTGCAGAATGAAATTATACAATAAATACATAAACTAATATAAAAATATCAATGATACTAACTTGATCACAGAAGGTAGAGGCTAGCGTAAAAACTATGTCCTTCGAACAGTATTTTCGTCCCACTCTTGTACAACTACCTAATTCTACAACCCGCACTGGATTATAGAACTCTAGCGAATTGCTTTGTGTGTTTACTCTCTGGAAATTTTGTACGGAAGATAAGAAGAAGAAAAGATGATTCTCACTTGGATACTATGATTTCCAAATGGTCCAAGTTCTAATTACTAAGAAAAAGGAATAAGCCTATATAAAGGCTAGTGAAAAAATATTGTTGACCAATGTGGGACAAGAGGGTCTCAAACTCCAATAACTCAGTGGTGTGTATAGCTTCGATTGCGTAGAATCTGTTCAAGCACTCTAAGACCGGTGATGTGGCCATCCTTGCAATCTCATCTATTGAGTCCAAGAATGCACCCCTAATCAAGCATTCTAAAGGCGGCTATAAGTTTTGCTCTCAAAGAAGCCCCATCTTATTCGCAGCATCTGGTTTCTGCATGAAGTATGAGCCGTAATTGCTGTAAGAACTTCTGTGTGAGAAATGGTCCAAACCATTTAATAAAGGAAATATGGTTATAGTATACGTTATATACATTAAGTAAACATTTAATATAAAGTGAGAAAACCATATAACTTGTACAAATTATGAAAGGAAGATAGTTACAAAACTTGAAGAAACTGATAGCAACTGCTACCATGATAGGTGGAGCAGTTGCATCCTATAAGTCAGGTTTTGATCCCCTTTCTCAGGTAAGTTACAAGATTCTCATAATGTGAATGCTCGCCCTATCGAGAGCAAGAGTTCCATTCCGTTTCCAAGAGAAAGGAAGGTCCAAATCTCATCTCAATCATCTCGTCTATGACAGCAAGTGCATCCCTAGTTTCTGCAAAATGATGATTTAATGAATATTGGGACTAGTATAAATGCATGCGTGTATATCAGTTTGTAGTTCATCATGCAGGGTTGATCTTGATCTCTGAATGAATGAAGTATATAATTAAGTCCATCAATTGCACACATCATGCGTGATTTTGTTGAACAGGTGAGGCTGCATTCTATATCGGGCTCGAAATTTGTGAGTAGGGTACAAAACACCAAGAATAAAGTAATCTTCCAAGAGATCATCCCTCGGCCGTGCCTACATCTGTCGATATTTGGTGTACGACCGACACGTAAACCGCCACGTCGTTGTTGGATTTCTTCATCAAGCATACCCACTGTTAAAACAACTTGGGTGTTTGTGTGCCTTTTGCTCAATTTCTTCTTTACGCTGCCTCCGCAATCGGATAAAGTAAGACATCAAGATGACACTAGTTTTATAAAATTTGAGAATTGAGATGGGTAGAGACGGTTGGCGTGAAGATATGAAGAATGAATCCTAATATTTATAGACAATTGGGAGATGAGATTGAAGGTAAGGTGAGAACACGTAACGCGATAAGAACAACTAAAATTGACTCGAAAATCTAACAAGACTTTTGATCTTTGAGAAGAGTAACAGCCATGTCAGTTACAGTTCACAATGGGTATATAGTGAATACTAATAGCCATGTACCATAAGTCTAGTCCTAGGTCCAAATCCACCAAAATGGGCAGAAATGCTCTGAGAGAGCCAGAGGGATCCCAATAGGCTGTTACTATTCACAAATCTCTTGTTAATAGGGAAAGAGACTTTCGAGCAGATTGTACTTTTTAGAACCCTTAAACTGTTATAATTCAAAATGAGATTCTTGGTGCTTTAATCATTAAATTTTTGTTTAAAAGTACAAAAGTTAATATTTAACGAGAAGTGATTCCGCACTCCTTTCCCTATATATTTTGAGATTGAATAAATTAAAAAAAAAAAAAACAAAGAATAGAAATAAACAAAGACATACAACTGAAAAAAGAAAAATAGTTGGAAAAAAATTAATTTGTAACCATTTGGTTTTTATTTTTCGTGTTACTGACGAAGGGGAACTATATAGGTAAAAGGACCAAGGAGGTTCGAAAAATAGTCGATGAAAGATGATGGGAGAGAGGTAGGAAAAATGTACAAGGAAAATCTTACAAAATCAAAATAAAAAATCAAAATCTAATTTAGGTTGGTTTCATTTTTAAAGTTTTGTTTTTATTCATTCCTCCTTATTTTTTCCCATATCTCCATAACCCTTCTTCGTCGCTCTTTTCTTCCATATGATGTCATCTTATCTCCAGCACAAAAAAGTAAAAAGTGAAAACTAAAAACAAAATAGTTATAAAATGCACCCTTCAAATTTTGTCATAACAACATCCATGTGAATGAAACCCTTAAAGTTTAACGATGAAAAAAAAAAATAAAGATGTGTGAAAAGAGATAAAGAGATAAAGATGTGCATAAATCACTTCTCAAAATTAATTCTCTTTTTTGTTTCTATGAACTAATGTAACTGTATCAAAAGAATTATATATGGTCTGAATTTAAAAGATAACAAATATCCAGGAAAAATAAATAATGCATATCAAACTTATGAATAAAATTATAAACATACGAAATTAGAACGTTCCGGCCTTTTGCAATGGAGAGGTACCAGTGTAAGTACAACCCAAAAAGCTAGATTAACTTCTGCACTCTTTATCTCCCCATGACTTGCACGTAGAGATCTTCCCATTGTATAAATAAAAAAAGAATTACGAGACAAGAGTGCGTGCTTAAGGAGAAAAGACGTGTGTGCAGAAATTATTTCCTGTAAAGAAGATCTCACCATTATTATTATTATTATTACGTCGTTTCTCTCTTGTCTTTGGTACTTGCAGAAGTACTACCCAAGGGGGAATTCTCAGGGACAGTAGAAATGCTAGACCCTTCTGTTTCTGACGGAATAGTAGAGTTGGGATGCATGTAGTCTTTGGTGGGAGTAATTTCTATGCTAATATAATCAGTACCATGCGATTCAGAAGATCCTGGAATGCTTCCTGCTGACTCAGATTGTGTTGGTGAGAAGTCTCCAATGCAACAAACTGGATTGGCAGCATTCAAGGAATTCAAAGCATTCACCACCTGCCATTGCACCACAAACACAAAACCATACCCATCAGATTTCTTTTGCCCCAGGTAGGTACGTAGGGTTCCTTTCAAAATTAGGGTTATATAACGTGTAGAATTAATATGATTAACGAGCAAATTAGAGTACTGCAAGTCTTGTTTGGAGTCTATGACTGAATAGGAACGGATAGCCACTGAATTTCAAAGCATATTGAAGGTAGAAGTGAATAATTGTTCATTTGAAGAGGATTAGACACGAAGGAAAGTCGTCCCTTCTAAGGAATGGATTGTAATGGATAAGTTTTGTTCATGAGTAATAGATCTTATCCCTTTTAGTTGGACATAATTTTCACTTCTTCCTTAACGTACCTTAATTAAGTGATATACACATCCAATCATAGATACCAAAGGAGGCCAATGTCAATTGTTGGATTAGTATTTTATTTATTTTTCTTTCAGTAATATTACTTAGCCATACAAAACTAACCATATTCTTGGCCGTCCTGTATTATATGTGGGATGCATATGTATTAGATTCTTAGACATGCGATCATCAATGTAATTTAGTTTTGCATGTCTAGCAATTACTCCTTTTTTTATATTTGGTATCACTTTTTTTTCATCTGTCATGTAGCAGTTCCTATATATCCAATATTTGATATTTATCTTTATACTTGTTCCACTATTTATCTATATGCATTCAACTTTTGTCCTAGGTTGATGCTTTATGTTGCAGCTGTTGTGTTGAAGGACTAGATTATGCAGACGAAATTATCAGTCTACTATCAGGTGGACTTACAGCATCCATAGTTAATCTGTTGTGTGGATCCCTGCTGAGACATTTTTCGGCTACCCGAACCATCCAATAAAGCTGGTGAACATCATGGCAATCCACATTACTCGGATCGATTAAATCTGGGTAGTTCCTTTCTTTAAAAGTGGTCTTGCCTGGCAAGAAAGTTATAGAATTGTTAGTTCAAAATAATAAATGGAATGTGAAGTGACATACTAGAAGGCTGCTCCTTTTCTTAGTAATCTGTTTGTCATTAGTAGTTAAAGTTTCCTTGTGTAACAAGTAATGACCAGTGGTGGATATATTTTTAGAATTATTTATGGCATGGAAGCTCTTACCCATTCCACAAGACTTTTTCCTCCAAGCCTCTTGTCAGTAGACCTCAGTCCTGCGATGAGCTGTAATAGAATAACCCCGAAAGCATAAACATCTGTCTTAGTTGACACCTTCCCATTTTCTGCATATTCTGGTGCCAAATATCCCAAAGTTCCGACAACTCTCGTTGTATCTGATGATCGATCTGAGTCTTCAAGTTGAGTTCTTGCAAGACCAAAATCTCCTAGCTGTTGCATAGAACATGTTAGACGAAGCATGAACGTAGGTATTTTGGTTAATATTTGAAAATAGGATGTGCACCTGCCTCAGATGGTTTTGTTAAAATCCCATAGGTTAGGTTATTCAGTTTAGAAACTGTGTTATGAAGAATACATGACGTTTCATATAACAAATTCGAGTCACGTATTAACAGTAATGTTATAGGTTCATAAAGCTGATATTAAGGGCAGACATATCGGGTTTAGTTACCAGTGCTTCATGATCGTGTGTCACGAGGATGTTGTTCGGTCTCACATCTCTGTGGATGATGTTGTTTTGATGTAGGTATAGTAAGCCTTTTGCAGCTCCAGTAGCAATTTTTATCTTCTTATCCCAACCGAGAGGTCTTCTGTTGTGTTCTGCATGAAATTAGAAAAAAGTTATGCAGCATTTAGGGTTAGACTTCTCTATGCTGAAATATGAAGGAAAACACTTGATTTTTTCCAAAATTACGGGTTCTTCTAAGTTGTTCGCAACTTACTTGATAGATGTTGATCCAACGAACCATTGCAAACATATTCGTAAACAAGCAGCCTCTTGCTTCCCTCTGAGCATGATCCTAACAGCATTACCAAATTCTCATGTCTTGCCTTACTGAGTACATGAACTTCAGACTCAAATTCTTTCTCGCCTTGGCAGCTTGCGTTCTTATGCTGCTTAACAGCAATCTTAAGCCCATTAAGTTCTCCTCTGTAGACGCAACCAAATCCACCTTCCGACAGGAAATTATTGTCGGAAAACCCATCTGTAGCAGCTAGGAGGTCTGCATAGGTAAAGTCTCTCTTCCATCCAATCGTTGGCCGTTTATTCTTGCAACCCGTGCATACTGAATTTTTGAATTCTTCATCTATTCGACATTCTCCTATCCAATCGTCCTTGTAGTTAAGCTGTTTCTGTTCATCGGGACTCCCAGCATTATGTGTTTCCTTTTGATCCCTTGCTTGAATCTCTGCAAGTGGAAATGGGGACGGCTCTCCTGCTTTTCCTCTTTCAGCATTTGTCGAGCTTTCTTCCTCGTCATAATTACGGGCAAAACCAGGATTAAATAGGTCAGTATTCCCCAGAGTTGAAGTTGACACTCTACTTGCTAGCTGCAGATCACTTGTTGATGTAGATTTCCTATAGTTAGACCACGCGGTCTCCACAACCATCTTGTTCTTTTCCAAAACTGCTCGCACGAGGACTTGGAGATTCTGAAACAATGTGCACTTTTAGTCAAGTTTCATTTGGTACCGACCGTAAGAATTTGCAGTTATGTGTGATAATATAGCGAAAAATCTCTTTTGATAGTAAATTTAATCCATGAACTTGGAACTTCGAGTCCTAGATTGTACGAGTTGTGATTAAATTTCTTACTTTTAGGAGAAAGTCCTTCCTCTGGGCTTCCTGGTATCATTTCATCATATCTTACATGGGAGCTTGTACTGGGTCTTTTGGCGACTGGTTTGTTGATGTTCCCAATTGCTTTTGGCCCTCTCAATTGTTCAACAGAATTACGTTTCATCCTCGATATACCACATGGCAACTTCTCCATGAAGAATTGCTTCTCTTTCTTCATCTGCCTGCATCATCAAATCAGAATAAGCTATTCAAAGGTTGGTGTCTCTATGTTCTCTTACATTGTATTGTTTCCATATTGCAGTTTTTTTAGTAACAAACATAATTTTACTTAACAAGCTTTGAAAGTTCGCTAGTTTCAAGGAATTACGAAGCTTCATCGGTAGTAGCATGATTTTTCACATCATCTAGTTTGAAAATAAAAGATTTGTACTTTAATCCCTCGATACTCTGGAGGGTTGAATTATCATTCCATACATATACAATCTCTTGATTTACAAGTATACTAGATATCACAGAAGATCTTGATGTATGTATCAAGCAGCGATCAATTATCGCCTATCAGAAAATACACATTTTAACAAATAATATGATGGCATCAGAGTTCACAATTCAGACAGTATCTTAACTATGTTCTCTTCAATTTGAAACCATAACTACCATCAAAGATTTAATCCTTCATCAAATGATTGACTGATTGATAACACAAATTCATCAATTCGATACATGTTTTTGATATTTCGGATACATTTTAGCTCATTAACAGTTTATTATCTGTTTTTATTTGTTTTGCTAAATGAAGGGTGAAACAAGGCTGGATGAGCACTGCTGCGAATGAATGAAGGAGAACAATTTCAGATTCTTCAAATCTATTAATGACTGACCTATCAAGAATCACCCATGTTGCTCCTAATCTTATCGCAGCCTCTACAGCAACCATCTTTGAAGAGGGACCAGCAACCACCTTTATGTTGAATTCAACCTGAGAAATGTCATCCACAAAATGATCCCTATGATTAACAAAAGAGGCTGAAAAAAAGTTCCGAGCGGAAAATGCAATGGTATGATAGGTAGTATAGCAGAACTAGGTGAATTAAATGGATCAAACATATCTTTAACAAACAGCAGGTAATCTCCATGTTGTAAGAAATAGTGACCGAAAATCTTATCTCACATTCAATCTTTTACACATGTTAGATATCATGGTGATCTCCTCTTTGCTACGATACTCCTCCGTTTTCCTCTCAAGCTCTTCTGCTATGACTTTCTGGTTGGTTCCGATAAATGAACTTGAGTTCATCTTGGTTCTGTATCCCACTGAGAAAGAGGATAGAGAAGGTGGAAAAATGGGGTATTGGGGAAAATAAAAAGTTAGCAAAATCTGTTCTTGTGATAGAATCATAGAATAGAACTAAATTGTTTTTTTCATCATATTAAAATACATTGAGCCGAGTTTCAGACAAAAAAGATAGAAAAGACTGGACACTGTTGCTACAAAGAGGAAAGGCATCGCAGCCTTTGGCCCTATCTTAAGAAGCGATCGAAATAACTCTTGCATGTTCACAGCAGTTAAGTAAATTGGTGATTATGTTTATCATACTTTCGGACTTTATTTTCTTCGTTTTATTAGGAAAACAAAAGCATGAATTCTTACAGAGTCTCCCAGCTAACGTACTAGGGTTATTAACATGGTGAAGAACCGAAAGAAGAGTAAGCTCATCCCCAGGCTTAAGGGATAAGCTCTGCAGGACCCATTGGATTGCGCACGAACTAACAAAGTCTTTGGATGCATCCTGGATCACCACTACTTTCTGAACTTCAGCTGCCATAATTTTTTTTTCTAGAACTCGAAGTAGTTCTCGTAATGAATTTTCAAAACAACGATACAGTACAGAAGAGAAGATTGACAAAATGAAAGTACAAAACCGTATGTTCCCAAATTAATGCTTAGTTTTAGGTTGCATGTAAACTTCTCCTATTGTTCTATATGTACATTGGGATATATATGTACATACTAATTACACACACACACACACACACACATGTATATACTTATAGCAGGGAAGAAACTAACACAATAATATAGCAATTGCTAGGAAAATGAGAGAAGTATTTTACTGAGAGAAATGATGAAAGATGATTCTTTTATCAATCAGTGACATTCTGCTGATTTCGTAGAATTAGAATGTCGGAAAAGAATCCGAGTAAGGAAATATAGTAGTGGTGAATCCAAGATCAGCGACCTCAGAGAGCTAGTTCGAGCACATATTCGGATATCCGAGAATGGGACCTGCAGGGGGTGTTTGTTCTTCAAGTTGTGGAGAATAGGGAGAGTATGTAATTAGCATTTGTTTAGTATGATGCATGAACTGTAATTAAATTGCTGTCCCTCAAACCAGAACAGTTGGGGATCATTGATAATACCTAGGCACTCTGAGTTTTGTTCTTGTTGGTAATCCACTTGTTTATGAATTTCTGTGTGTAAAAATAATCAAAAGGTTTGATTTGGATTTTCCTCAGTTTGATCTTAACAGTAGATAAAACGTAGGTGGGTTTTATCACCACTAACCTAAGACAGCATCATGTAATCGACATTTGTTAGGAGGAAGACATTTTTTCGCAGCCCATTGTCACTTTTGTCATGATTTTGTTACTGTTCAAAATATCAAATCAGCAGTGTTCACTTCGTACTATCATATAGTAGTGTTTCTAATTAGTTATAAATAAGATATCTTAAGTCTGAATCTGTTAATAGTAAATTCGATATGAATTTATCTTCCACCCCTTATTATAAATATATTATTATATAATCAAAGCATGAAAACATTCTACTGTGTTTGATTTGAAACACGTCTTGTAAGTTAGAAAAGTTTAAAACATAATATCATCGTGTCAATAAAAAAATACCTATTAGTAAAATACGTTCACTCCTAATTTGTCATTCTATCTGTCTTTTTTTTTTTTAAATATATATTCTCAGTAAATAAGATATTCACGTTTGATATATAGGACTGATTAGACTTAAAATAATTATAGGGATCATCTTGGATTGAGTTGGTTCTATTCAAGCTCATTATTTTAAACAGTTTAAAATAAGCCCACATTCTAATAATCCCAGATTATTCAATTGTTAATTGACCACAAATTTATTTTTTGGAAGATGGGAACATATTGGAACTAATTTTAGTAGGCCAAATTACAGAATCGACATTGAGTCATATGTGCTTGTTTCTACTTCAGATGTCGCATGTAAAATTTCTATGACATATTTTATCTTTCAGGTCTCTTAATTATTAAATCCCATTTTTTGTGTTGTCCAAATAGTTAACAATTAAGATATTCAAAGTATCTAATTTTCTGGAACACCATAAAAAATCATGTCACATTTACATATTATTCATTGAAAGCCAAGCGTTGGTGTAGTTTGGCTCGATACAAGCTTGGATACGTAAGTTTCCCATTGGACCTGTCAACACAACACTTAGGTCACACGAGCTTTGGCATGCATGTTTTTTTGGTAGGTTTAAACTTGTCGTAATGAAAAATAAACAGAATATAAATTATAGATTACAGATTTCCACATACGTTTGGAACAATGCCTGAATTTCGATAAAAGTTCAGTTTCCTTGGTACTATAATCAAAGCTAGAATATGGTTGTGCCGACCGCCGATCATCCGTGCCTGCTACTGGCAAGATATGAACTGAAAGTGAAGGTAACTCGTCCTTTTGCTAAAAACTAATTATTATTATTATTATTTTTTTTTTTTAAGAATCTGCACGTTACCTTAATAAAGAAAATCTTTGTTTTTTTTGTCATTCTTCACAGATGAGTGATAGAATTCTTATCATCTGTAAAACCAAGGTTAAATCATATAAAAATACTTGTACAATGTTATTATAGTATAAAGAGCTCAATTAAAGTCAATCTACATAGAGAGTGATATGAATATTTTGATGTGTCAGATCCAGGATCGACATTGAGATTCTTAAATGAGCTCTTAAACTAAAATTTGAAGAGGAGTTAAAAAAAAAAAAAAATTCTACTATAATCATGTGTCTTATCTTTACAATAGACCAAGCGAGCCACAACAAAGTTATGCTATCGCTACTAGATCCACAAATAGACATAGATTTCACGCAACTGGACTCTTGGTGGCGCTTGTTATTAACAATAATTGTTTTAACGTTGCCTAAAAAAATTCATTCTAATGGCACATAGTGAGGATTTTCTTGCTAGAGAGTATGATTAGAGTAGAAAATAACTATAGCCTTCTTAATTAAAACTTAACTTAAAAATGATAGCTCATCTTAAAGTCAAGAGATATTTTTCAGGTTGCCGAGAACAAGAGCTTGTACATTAAGTATCATAATACAAGTGGTTGAATACTCGAAAAAAAAATAAATTCAACACTTGTATTATAACACTTAAAATACTAAGCCATGTTCTCGGTACACTGAAATTTTTTACAAGGTCAGATAATTGTCTATGCGTAGGTTCTAATAATACTAAATAATAATACTAAATATATACCAAGTAAGATTAGCGTTAATCCTGTCCTGGTTCAATTGGGAAATGTATAGTGATGGATTTTGTATCAAATTATTGTTGCTAATGGAGTCAAAGTTCCACAATTTTCAGCCGATGAAAACAATGGGAAATTTAATCTTCGATTGGTTGACCAACTTTGATGTTTCAAATGAATTAAGCCACCATGACTACGATGGGTCTTACGAATGAGCCCATAACTTGAAGATAGGTTCATTAATTCATCATTGTCCTAGATTATATAAACAAATAAGGTATCTTGTGTAACAAGAGATCTTTCTCTTTTGGCAGCGAACTAATTCAGGAGAGATTTCTTTTAGTAGTGCGATAGTGTTAGTAGAGTTAAACAGTTAGCTGTTAGGATGAGATGAATTAGTAGGGATCGAACACGCACCATAGTACATGGGCACAACTATTTTTCGTCATTAGAGTAAAGCATCATCTACAAATCACAAAAGATACTTGGCTGCGCAAAAATTATGAAAAAAATTCTATACAAAAACATCGTGATTGATTCATGAGATTTCCTACTTATGATTAGAACATTTCATATTATATATAAAATACATTGTAAAGATTATCTTTACAAAAAAATCATTTAGTCAATCAATTGAAACAAATAGATAAATGGCTCATAATACTTGTAATGATTTCGACCATTTGTTTTTATATAGTTCTATGTCTAAACTATCTTATATTTTATTGATTTTTTTTTATTTTAATTTTTTTTTTACAGAGATGACATTTACATAATAAAGTGTAATATAAATGGTTCCAACCATAAGAGTCAATTCAAGGGATAGATAAGGGTTTTTTCTTTTTTCTTTGGGAGCTTTTGTTTTAAGTCAAACCAAATCAGACACTACATCGCATTTATATTTTCCATTTCTGCATATTTAGACCCTGAGTTGTTGTCTATGTTTTGTTATACTCAAATGAATCAATCTATTCCTTCATTTTATTATGGATATTGGTTTCAGAATCCTCGTTACTTTTTTTTTCGTCTCATTTTCAAGTTGAAAATATTTTGCGTCAAGTTGGAAAGTGCAATGAGTCGTTCCATTTGCACTTCATTTGCTTCTTCTTATTGTAGATTTTAATACTTTTAGTTGATTTTTTTTATCGATAGTCTCTAGTGTTATGCAAATTTATAAGATAATGTTATACGAATATTGAAACACGCCACGTATAAACACAAAGAATTTAGTGAGGTTCGGATTTGACTACTCTCTGTGTGATCTCTCTTGAGATATCACCTGTACTATCAAGAATAACAACTCTATTACAAGAACTTATTGAAAACTCTTATGCTAAACATCAAAACCTTGCTCTAGATCTCTTTTTCACTCTTGGTTCTCTACCCTTGTATTCTCTATTGTTTGTGTGAATAAAACTATGGAACTTGTTCGAGTATTAAATTAAAAACAATCGACCCACCTAACATACAAAATACACATAGTAAGTATGGTAGTGTTTGGGTCCAAAATAACACTTTGGGCCAAGCTTGGAGTTGCTCTCGGTCCAATAAGGAGTATCGAGAATATTCTTTGCCATGGGCCGAGCCCAATAGAGTTCGGCCAAATCCTATCAGAATGTGATTTCTGCCTGGATAAAGGTGGAGTGGTCGAATCCTAATTCAATAGGGATCCTTCAGAGGCTAAAAGCTTATGAATCAAAAATGATGCCGAAAGTCAAGGGTTGAATCTAAATGATTAAAGAACTTGGTTCATAATCCTATAGAAGTTAAGATTGGTTGAGGCCAAATCATATTGGGATGGAGAATTCCAGTCTGAGTAAAATTCTAGTTCAGTTATTGTGGAAATCGCTACTATAAATAGAAAGGGGTTGCATCATTCAAACCCTTCCAATTCAACACATAGTTGCCCCCCTTTTTCCCGCCAACACATTTTCAATTTGGATAAAGAGCACTGTGAAAGCAACTAACAACATCTTCAGTTTAGATAAACAGCACTGGAGCCGTAGAATTAGCCGATCGAGAAGCACCTTCAGTTTGGATAAACAACACTACTTTGAGACTGATTGGTTATTTATCCAAGTCTCGGTCATCAAGGATTTCCGAGTCCTTGTTGGTAGAGGTCATCTCATCAGTCTTCTCGGTGGAATGAGGTGTTACCAGGTTAATACATTCGGCACACTGACAGCCGAATTTGATATTGAACTTTGCAAAACTAGCAACCTTGTCTTTAGGCTCTAGAAACCGAAGGCCGAGACATGTTCCTTCCTCCGTCATAGTTGCAAGATCCATAAGTCATCAACACACCCAACACCACATCAATATTCATTTTTACTCCCCGGTCGAGCTAGGCTGATGAGTTGGCCCGCCCTGTATTCGACTGAAAGACATAGTTAGCTTATTAATTACTCAGCTTGCGCGCCATGTAAGTTAGGTAGTTTTTAAGATCAACAGGTAGTTATGTGTATTTTGGGTATGTTCACTATGGTAGTTATGTGTATTTTGGGTATGTTAGGTGAGCTATTGAACCTTTGTTCATGCCATAGAAACTGTTTGAGGATTTTTCAGATGCTAACTACTGAATAGAACTATGAAACTTGTTCTAGTATTAAATAAAAAACAATCAATGGTTTGAGTATTTAGTTAATGATTACTGAAGCGCTGTTTAGTTTTCGATTAGTTGCTACTTAATATTGAAGCTCATGATCTCAAACTCAATAGTCAATCATATCGGAGAAAACAAGTCCTTTGATTCTCCTAAAA